TCAGTGCAGTGCTTTAACCCGCTGCACCACCAGGGAGGGCCATCAATCTCCCTCTTTATTAAGACAAATATCTTTCCCCACTTCTATCTCCTTGACATAAACTTAAAGGGTAAAATCTATGTATTATATCCAGAGGTACCAACTGATAACCCCACGCCTTGAACACACTTTTATCATCTAAAATACTTTTATTTTCATTATATTTTCTTAACAGCGTTAACACTGCAGTAATTAAATGTTTAGTTGTATGTTGAAGACCCATTCATAACTAGGGATGAGAAAGAGATTAACTAAAAACTTAAGTGATCTGTGTCCTATTCTGTGCTATTTCACTCTTTCCTTTGTAGTATATTTGGTTAATTGTCTCTCAAGTCCTTGCAATTTAATGGAAAAATTAATGCACATAAAAAAAGAGACATCTTTCACCACACATAATTATTCCACCACTACAATTATTAATTCTCACAGTCTCTTCACTAACCATAAATTAATCTTCCTCCAATTTGCTTTTCAACTGTTCCCACTCTGATTATTTATTACACTGTGGCTCTAATTTCCACTCTGTAGTTGAAATTATCTTAAAAAAAAAATCTGACTGTCACCTTTCTTGTTTATGAAAATTAATGTTATCCTGCATTTCTCTCAGGGTACACCAAATTTCTTAACAAGAGCTACAAGGACAACGAGCCCTCTTCAGCCTTTCAGCTCACTTGACTCTCTACCTTACTGCCCTCCCTTTGCTTCACCCACAATGGCCTTGTTCAGCCCCTGTCACTGTCACTAGTACAAAACAAGTAAAGTTCCTTCTGCCTGGAATTCTCTTCTTTTCATTCCACACTTAGTTAGGCCAATTGTTCTTTCTGATTTCTGCAATGATGCTATATTCTTCACCCTAAGGAGGCCTATTCCCACATTCCAAACAATAACACGCCCCTTTCATTTTTGTACCTGTACATGGGTCTCTATGAGCTAGCTACTAAGTGGTCACTCATGGCAAGTGTGACCTATTTGCTATTTGCAAATCACAGCAGAGCTTTCCTTCCTTCTATCTAAAAGTCTAGCTCATATCACCAGGCCTGGGGACGCTTAGGCTGCTGGTGACCTGATTATGTGATTAGCTTCATGGTGGTCTCAGGATAACTCTGCCTGGGATAAAATCATACTGGGCTGATACAAATGTCACTGAATGTGTGGTTATCATGTCCTCTTCTCTGTTCCTCATAAATCATTGTTCCCCCATTACAACCCCACCCTCTAAACCCTATTCCTCATACTATTGTCACACGATCAGTTTTTATAGCCTGTATGTTCTCAATAAATTCAACTTTAGTAAAAGGATTTCTACTCAAGAAGCAGTTGTCTTGCAAATCAATCCCGCTAACGCTGTGCTCTTCATTATGCTCTGGCAGCAAAATGGCAACAAAGTTCCTGTTGCAACATCAACAGTTAAAATTGTATATCAAATCATATGATTATGTAATCAAAAGAAGAAGATTTTCCTTAGTTGGTCTAAAGTCTGAAGCAAGGTCTTTGTCTAGGTTTACTTACTCTCAAATCATAAGCTCACGATTTGGCATTCTACAGGTGTCTGTAAATAAGTTGTGATGAAGAACACCATAAAGTTCCTTGAAATGTCCTAAGCTACAGACATTACAAAGTCTTTATAGCATTTCCTACAAGACAAACTATGGAATGAATTCATCCAAAATGTAGGTGTAACTATACATATTTCCCACAAAGTAAAACCATTCTTTATTTCTATTGTTCTTCAGTCTTTTCTTCTTCGATTTTAGTATAATCCAAACAGGAGTTTTGATGATAAATGTGAATGGAACCCCTTAATAAAAATTCGTGTGCAGATTATAGATTGAGAAACAATGTAATTTCTTTAATATCTTTTTCTTTCTCTTCATTACTATTAACATGGATATTGTATTATAATACCAAATAATTTGATAAGTCTATGTCTTTTTGAATGTCTCTGTTTTCTATTATATTATTACTATGTATATTAGCAAATATTACATTTCCTATAATGTAAGGAAATATTAATTTTTAAAGTTTTTATAATTTCATAGGAAATAAACATGGCAAATGGATCCTGATGGCAAATTCATCTAAACCTACAAAGAGTATCTTTTCTTGGTGAAACTGAAGTCCATGAGTGAGTAATGGAAGTGAAAAAATATTCAATCTATTATAAGACTGTTAATGTAAAATAGTGATAACTCAAAGAAACAGAAGGATAACTCTCCCCAAGATAATTCCAAGATTCACTTTGGAATTTCAGTTTTGAGCTGAAGTCAATTAAGTCTCCATAGGTTTGTGAGAGATTTTTACCACTCCCTCAACCATTCCTTAACCTAGGATAAGAAAAATCCTGGATATCAGGCCCTCCCTGGTGGTGCAAAGGGTTAGGTTGTATCACTGCAAGCTGGTCACAGTTGCTTCAGTGGGAGTTCCATTCCCTGCTAGGAGGTGATCCACATGGCACAGCAGACCTCTCCTGTCTCACCTGCTGCTCCCCTCAACAATGCACTTCACTGATCAGCCTGCTCTGCTCCCCACTCTCCCCACTCTGTCTCTGGTGAATCCTCTCACCACACCTGCACCTCTGGCTTGTACCTCAGTTCTTTATGCATAAATAAAGAAAACTTTAAAAAAAATGTGGATATTACCTAAAATTTAGATTTCAATAAAAATAGACTTTCTACATCAGAAAATTATTTATATAGCTGGGTAAACATGCAATACAATTCTTTATAATCAAATCACCTTGTTTTCACTCCTCTCTGCTGCCGTGCTTGGCCCCTAACCCATTTCTTAGTTAAATTATATTTTCATTCAACTATATGAACACACACACACACACATATACCTATATGTGTATAAGTATGTGTGTATAGACATACATATACATATACATACACATGCACATATGCATATACATATACACACACACATACATATATATATATGTATATATATATATATATATATATATATAGTTAGACAGTGAGAGACAGAGAACCATTGACTTTAGGATCTAAAACCATGCTTATTTTTGATACATATATAATTAAATTTGTTTTTTGTCCTAACAAAACTGATATCAATTTGACTGTTGATCTGCCTAAGAATCCAGAGATAGAGGAAATTTTCCTCTGTAACCATACAATACTAATGCTATCAGAGAGAATCTAAGATTCTTCAGATCTATAATGGTCTACCAAATGCATCTCCAGGCATGGGTCACATGAGTTAACATGATTATTGAGTTCCAACACATCATTTTAGACATGAGAACCAGTTAGCAAGAGAAAAGTCCTTTGTCTGAGGTCACAAAGCAGTTTATAGTAGCATCAACACAAACAAAAGCTCTATTAGAAATGCAGATGTCTGGGCTCTATCCCATAGCTAGTAAACTGCAATCTGTAGCTCAACCAGCTGTGTAAAGATATAAAACAAGATAAGAGACTTTGACCAAAATCACTAATACCTTGACTTTTATGGCTGAGATTCATATAATTATCAATATAAGAGGTATCCTTTTTCACACCAGCATATTAAGTAAGGTAACTGATCTGAAACTTCTGACATAAAGCCCATAATCTTTCAAATTTTCCAAGACTCTACTTTTTTTTTTAATAGAGTTTAGATTATTCTCATAACAGAAAAAAAGTTGAATTGTTTAGCTTCCAGTTGTCAATCTCAACATTTTATAAATCAAAATATAGCATATTTTTATATGTCTTAATCCTGGCACATTTCTTTTTAAAGCAGCTAATTTTAAATGGGTCTTTTTATGATTTTGTCTTACCACTTATGCAAATATAGGTAGCCAACAGCAATAGGTCAGCCTCATTCTAATCCACATATTTTCTTGACAGCTGGTTATATATTTGGTTTATCTGACAATGTCTGCGTGTGTATAGAGAGGTCTGTATATAGGTAGGTAGGTAGATAGATTGATGAAAGAAGAGAGAGAGAGAAAGAAAGGGAGAGAGAGAGAGAAAGGAAGAAAGATTTACTCTTGATCTTAAAAATCTAGAACAAAGGCAAATAAATGCTTTTGCTTTTTTTTCCTTTTTTCAGTATTTTAAAGGTTTGGAAATTTGCAAAATAAATGTACTTTCAAACTTTCTGTAAAAGTTTTGCAAAAAAAAGAACAATTGACTAATAATTTCTCATGATTTAAAAATAACCAGCTAAGGCAAAATGAAATGACAAATAGCTATACTGATATTACTCAAAAATAATCATGCAGTAATCTAAAAATATAGATATACGTAAGATGCTTAAGTCATTACACATTATTAATTTTATATGGAAGCTAACCTTAAATATGGTTCATTTATTTGCACAGAATTAAGTTAATAACATAAATATGGTAGATAACAGAATAGTGAATACATTTTGGAAGGGAATTTAATCACCACCATGTTTTCTAGCAAATACAGATCTACTTAGTAAATACAATTGTTGATCTGGTGGAAAAGAGTTTCCTTAGAGTTGAAAATGGACATTTTTAAGGGAACTAGAAGACTGACTTGAAAATTCTGCAATTATCTGGTCCAAACTGAGCATTTAGCAACAACTGGCCAAAAGCAACTTAAGCCAAGAAATAATGATCCTGAAAGGGATACTTCTGTATGTTTGAAATTTCCCCCATCCCTACCCCCTTTTCCTCCCCCCCAAAAAGAGCAGTTTCTTTCATGAGATTCACCAGTGATGAATCACCAGCCACACAGTTTGAGAGCTCAACTTAATACTTGCTCATTATACTTTTGGTCACTCCATGCATGTCTACAGAGCTCTTGTGTATTCTCAGGAACTTGTTGAGAGTCCCACAACAAATAAGTGAAATGAAGAGCTCAAATTTCAGCCCCATTGCTATGGTAACAGTGTTCCTCACTGAGACCCCTAGTCCCATGTGAGACTGAGCCCATTTGGGTGGACACATGGTTTAGAAACGATGCAGAGAGCAGAGGAGCACTTACGGTTGACACAGCTTGATTAGGTCTTGGTCTGTGGTGCCCGGTGGAAGGCCTCGAATGTACAGGTTGGTTTTACTCAACTGTTCCCCGCTGCTGTTGTTGCTGCTGTTGTTGCTGCTGCTGTTTGTGCTGGGACTGGGAGGAGCCATGGGGTGGGGAGCTGGTGCATAGGACTGCTGGAAACAGAAAAGGCTGTTACTGGAAAAACAAAGCCAGCACCTACTCACAGGCCAGCAGCACAACCTGAAAGCAATGCAAACTCCCTGATGTTTGCAAGACACACATGCACACCTGTATTTATATGTGCTGTCTCTATGCTTTGTTATTTTCAAGAAAGTTTACTCCTCCCCCAACCACCCAGCCCTGTACTTGAATCAGCATTAAGTTAGCCATACATGGGATAAAAAGAAATGACCAGATGTTCCTGAAAGTAGCACAAGACTTGAGGTTGTCCCTTTCTACACTGAGTTTCCTTAGACTTATCCAGCAGCATGATAACTCTCTCCTAGAATTAAAGAAAACAATTCACTCTTCACAATAAAGTTCTCCGCCAGCTCACCTTGAACAGTCATGTATCATTGATTTGCTTCTATTCCTTTGTTCCCTTTCATTCTCCCACAAAACTTCCTCATACTTGTTTTTTTCACCATTACTCTACATGACAATTCCTGATATGCAGAAAGCATTGTATAATGATACTAGGAATGAACAAGTGACAAAATGAATCTATTTTATCTATGCCTCTAATCCCAAACCTTCTGGATACCTTGTTTAAAAGACTGAGTCACCATCTTCTCCCTACAGTCAAGACTAACTTAAAAATACTGTAATCTAAGGACTCAACCAGGTACCCATGACACCTTGGACATGAAATTTTCTTGTTTGGAGGACTGTCCTGCTCTCTGTAGAATGGTAGAAGCATCCTGTCTCTTCAGCTATCAAGTTTTAGGAGTAGCCATTCCACAGGGTTGATGACCAAAAATGTCTCCAAATACTTACATGTGTTTCCTTGGGGCAGATTGTGGGGGTAACTTCCCCAAAAGAGAACACTGCTGTAATCTGTCACACTAATATGTGACAAATAATAAATAATGAAATAACCCATCCAACTTGTAATATGTAAGGTCGCAGCCTTTGGAATTATCGCCAGAAGTAGCTGACATTCATTCATTATGCTTCTCTATATTCAGGTAGCTCTTCTGTGAAACTCAATATCCCGATTAATATGAGGGAGATAAAAACAGATCTCTCCTATGTGACAGGGTATTTCCAAAAGTCCAATGAGTGAATACAAACAAAATGGTACCTGGAAACTAGTAACAACATAATGAAATTTAGCAACAACAAAACATGTAATGATAATAATGAAAGTATCTGTGGTTCATATCCGTCTTGCCAGTAATATTAGTCTGTATAACTTTCCCAGATTCTTTCAGTCATCACTTGGAGTGTTACCAGAGCACAATGAACAGATTGAAGATTCCAGCAGGGCAAACTCAAGATTCAAAGTCTAATATGAAGACTCCTTAGCTGATTTATAAGGCGAAAGTGGTGTGTACTTACAAGAACTAGGTGCTTTATTAATACTTAGGCTATATCATGAAAAATGTATTGCCCTATTTCTTTCAGTGCTGTCATCTTCCAACCTCCATGTGAAAAACCTTGGTGGCTGTTTCCTCTGTTCCTAAATCTGAAAACCTTCTACCACCTTCTAAATTCCCATCATTCCCCTAGTGTGAGCTGCCTAAGTAGAAAGGAATTCACGATTCCTATCTGGTCTCCTTTCGCTCATCCTTTGCTTGTATGAAGGGTGAGGCATGGACAGGGAGAAGAGTAATAAGACAGGATGGTCAAATGCAAACATGAGTTGGTCAGGAGTGTGCATGGCAGCTTGTCTAAGGCCCAGGAAGGCTGAGTTCATAGGACAGGATCAAATCTTAGAGCCCTCAACTGTCTCTCTGAAATCAACATTTTTCTCATCCATTTCTTCAGCATTTCCCAATTTAAGACATATATTATTCTAAGATGAATTACACAGACTACTTACTATTTCCAATATTTAAATACAATAATATCCATTGCCCTTCAGAATACTGTATAAATCTGTGTCAAAATTCTTGGTTAGCATAACATTATTCTCTTGACCTAAAAATTCTGTTTCACTTCTCAGACATCCCATAACACTTAAGCTTGATCTTTTTCCAAGTCTTATACTTACTAAGTGGCCAATACCCCTCCTAAACTAGGGTGCTGTTCTCTCTATCACAAAGGGACAGATGGGATTTATCTCTTCCCTTATATGCTTTCCTCTCTTAAATTTCCCAGGGCTTTTAAAAAGCTGTTTACTATCACTGTCACCTCCCCTGTCTCCAAATTCTTGGAATTCCATTCTGTACTCAGGCTTCTCTTAAAATGAGGCTTTGTTTAAAGCAGTTCCCCCCCCCACACACACACACCCATCACATAGCCTTTAAAGCCACTGGGGAGCCAGAAAAAATGTCCCCAGCTTTATGTATCACAGATCAGATGCACCAGTTAGAATGAGCCCTTAGCTGATCAAATAAGAAAGCACTAAATACAGGATGATCAAGATGCGGTTACTTAATTCTTTATTTTTTTTCTCCCAGAAATCTTTGCATTTCCATAGCTGAAATACCATTTAGTAAATTACATGGTGCCTAAAACAATAAACGTGCCCTCTAAAGGACTTAATGTATTCACTGGGAAAAAATTAAACAAAACAGTCAAAAGCAAACCGAAGCTGGGATCAGTATAGGGAACTTGGATGCATGTAAATGAAGTACGAAATTTATAAATACGAGTAGAAACACCACACTGTTGTGGGAAAAGGATGTATTTCAAAAGTCCTTCAAAAAAAAAAAGGCACAATTAAAGGCTGTTTTCTATGTCTTATTTTTGTTTTTGAATTCTAGAAATTTTGCTGCATGAGGACACCTCTGTTTATTGATCCAATCAAACCACAGATTTGACCCCAGCACTGATCTTTTGTTCATGCTTAATATTTCACTTATCTTTAGTGTTAACACTGAATGATTCAGGTAACAGCCTGCATTATAAATCACTGTTTAGAATTAAGAATTATAAATTCCTTCCTCTCCACCCATTTTCAAAATATACATCATTTAATCAACAGACTATGGGCAGAAGTTTCCCGAATGCCTGACAAATACACAGGCCTAAATGAATTAATTTGTGAAAAGCCAAAGCGATTTTGCGTGCTGACGGCCGGAGATAAATGTCCAGCTAGACTGTCTAGCAGCACCAAAAACAGGGGTGTCAATAATTTTAAGGGGTCAACGGGTCACTGCAGCTACTCTGCTGATTAAAAGTGACTCAAAAACCTTCCTTAGTTTTTGTCTTTAGGTGAGGCGGGGTTGGAATTTTATCATTGATTGGCCTTTCTATCATCTGGAGGCATTATGGAGAAACTTAAATGTTAGTTAAAAAAAATATTTTCTTGGAAATGAAATGGACTTTGCTAGATTGCTCAAAGTCACACTTTGTAAATCCTGTTTAGGAGTGGTGAGGATTCACAGGCTGAGGTTACAAAATACTGTAATCTCTACTCTACTGGGGTAAGGGGTTGCTATGAATTGGCAGTGTCAGCATAGTTAGAACCAGTGGAAATACCAGGCTTTTAGAAGTTGTGCATGCTTAGCTAGTCCTAGGTGTTTACACCTGGTGGCTAAGTGGGAGGGCCAGCTAATGATTACAATGGTAACTAAAGCCTCCTTAACCACAAGTGGGGAATTTTAAGTCAGGAAAGCAGTGTTGATGTCCTGTGAAAGACATAAAATTAAATGGCTTGGCATCCATTCTGAGTGATGCTCTTCTAATAATTACAACTAGCATTCATTGTACGCTTGCAGAGTAATTTACATGCTACCTTTTAACATATAGGCCTAAGGAAACAAATAACATGCCTCTCCTTTTACCAGTCAGGAAACTAAGACACAGACAGGGTTGCTAGCAGACCCTCTCACTTAGCCCCAGGTAAATACCTAGGGATAATATGAGTGCTTATTAAGCATGTGCAACTAACTTCTAAAAATGTGACCTTCCCAAGGTCACATAGCTGGTCCTGATTTGAACCCTGACGTGACTCCAGGAGTCATGCAAACATTCTAGAACCTTATGTTTTTAATACATGCATGCATACACACACATTTTGTATGTAATACAGTGATACATATGTGTATATATATATATATATATGTGTGTGTGTGTGTGTGTGTGTGTGTGTAAATGCATACACACATACCATCATTATATTACATCATTATGTATTTGGTACAATGTTTGACTTCTCATCTCAGATGTCCTCCCTATAGAATTGCTACCAATTCACCTGAGCACCATCGCTAGTCTCTTGTGCTCTTCCCATCCCTGTTTTAATCCCTCTCCCCTCCTCTCCTCATGCTCAATGTCTCTGATTTATAGTTGTCTGCTAGTTTTCTCTCTTCTTTTTTTCCTGGCCCTTTATTTGGTTCCCCTAAATTCCTCCTATAAGTGAAAACATCCGATATTTTTCTTTTTTCTTTTGACTGATTTCACTGAGAACTTCATTTCTTAAGGATACAGACACCAATAAATACAAGCACTTCCTTGCAGTGAGCTCTGGAAGATGACATGCTAATAAAAACTCTGGCACATCCAAATATAAAGGGGAGGGGAAGAATGATGATGATAAACAGCACACAGTGGAAAGGAAGGTTAACAAGTCCTTTCTCTCTATCAGAATTTAAATGAGGTCCATTTGAAAATTTAATTTCAAAGGGGAAGTGACCATCAGAAGCAAGCCTGTTACGAGTTTTTCAAATCATGTCAAACACGGGGGTTCATTTGTCAAGATTCATGGTTTGTTATTTAATAACAGGAAAATGAACTGGCTTGTAGATCATCCTAAACAGCTGATTCATTTAGTGTGCTTTGTTAATATGTCTCATTTTTCAAGTTTGAAAACTGCATCAACCGGGTACTCCTACATTCTTGTAAAATGCCTAGGTTTGAGTGTGTGGGTTGAGAGGGACAGTCACAGTATTTTGCAAGTAGACTTGAGAGGCATGGTTCTGTTTGTTTGAACAGAAAGTATTTGAAACATCCAGTAAATCTTGTTCAAGCATCTTAAGGGTAAAGTACATCATTAAAAAATCAT